GTCCTAGGTGTCCCCATCTGGGCAGCGGATGGGCATGGCCGTGTGGCCAGTTGATATGGCTGAAGTCCTGGCTCCAGGGTCTGCTGCTATCCGGCAGCTCACTCATCTGTCTTCGTGGGTTTCCTGTGCCTGAAGCTCCGTCCCGCAGTTGTACCAAGGAGATAAGCGAAATGTAATATTTAGACTTCTGTTCCTGAGAAACTTGGGAACACAGATCAGGGAGGTCAAGCAGGAAATCAGATCAGAGCAGTAGATACCAGCCTTGAGAGTTTTGCTTTTGAATATTTGCACATTTTCTCTTTGACCCCTCTTTCCTGGGCATTGTCTGCGATAATAAAGTCCAGTTTCTTACTCAGATAAACATGTGCTTGAGAAAACAGGGGACTGTGAGGGGAAGCTCCCACCCATTTGGACTGCGACATGGTCAAGACATTTGACCCAAGTGACCATATGATGGGGATTTCTGAAATTAGTCATTTTTTTAATTAAAAATTTTAAGATTTTTACAATAGGGCATGTGTGCTTGCCAGACAGAGACAATGAGAGAGAGAGTGAGAGATCACCCCCTAGGCATGATGGCCACACTGCAGTCCCTTCTGTATTCTCATGGGATTTGGGCATGCACGCACACGCACCCTATGTGATTTTCAAGCTGCCAGGTCTGGGACTTGAACAGCTGTTGGTCACGTGGGAGTCCAGCACCTTAACCACTACACCACCTGCTGGCCCTGAAAAGTAGTCATTTGAGAAAGGCTTTCCCGTGACATCACTGTACTTGATGTTCCTGCCCTTCCTGGAGGCTGTGGTGGGTGGAGGGAGAGGAAGGTGATGTTGGTGAGGATGACCTGGGGCCTCTGGACCTGCTCCTGACCTCATCTGGGCTGCAAGCGTCCTCCTAGCCTGTCACCTGGATGGGGCTGGCTGTCCTGGGGACCGGGCAGGGGGACCCTCACCATCACCTGGGCTGCTCATCCCTGCCCATGCCTTTGCATACCTAAGGCAGGACTGCACCCAGGTCTGCAGCTGCTCGGGGGCCGGCCGCCTGTCTTGCACACGTGGTGTGAGTGCAGGCAGTGGGGCCTGTGGAGCTTGTTCGTAATGGGTGGGCAGCTGGTGTCTCCCTGCGACCTGGGGGAACCCGGCTGTGTGACAGGGCCCAGCCTCAGAACCCAGGGCTAGGCCCCGGGGGACCGGCTATAGGATCTCTGGAGGCAGGTCCAGGCTGCAGTGGTGCCGTGAGACCAAGTCTGTGCTGTCCCGAGGTCGAGGCACCCTCCATTGTGGGTCCGCCCTGGGGTGAGCTCCAGATCCTGCTTTAGATTTGCTGAATCTGCTGTGAGCACTGAGGACAGGGTTGCCGCGAGCAGGGGCGGGCAGTGCTGGCCAAGGTCTCTCGCTCGGACCCTCCAGATAGGCAGTTTCTGTGCTGAGTGGCCCTGGGCCAGCAGTGTGGACTGGGCTGGAGCCTGGGTGAGGACTGAATGCCATCAGCTGGGGGCTGGTTGAGAGCTCTGGGTGATGAAGGGAGTCCCGGTCCCACCCACAGGCGTGGCATCCCGGGCTGGGAGCTGAGGGCAGCGCTGCCCGGGGTGGTGAGATCATGGGCAGATGGCCTCCTGGTCCGCCATTGGCCCCGACTGGAGCCCTGGCATGGGCCTGCCTCTGAGGAGGCTCACAGCCACCCCTCAGCAGGGGTGAGGGTGGAGTCCTGGACTCTCCTCTGCTGGACTCTGAGATTCCCTGCCTCACCCCTCCTGCTTCACTCTGCCTCAGGGTTGCCGCTCTGTCCACGGGCTTTCAGGGCCCCTGCTGTGTCCCTAAGCTGTTCCCAGGCCAGCTCGGAGGACAGACCCTCAAGAGCTGGGCACTCTGAGGCCCTCAGGCTGACCACAAGGCAGGTGTGGCCCTGAGCCTGATGGGAAGCCTGAGAACACAGCTATGAGGAAGGAGTGGAGGGGGCAGGGGGCAGATGCAGGAGCTGAGGGCTTTGGCCCCGGGTCTGCCATGGGCTGAGTGTATTCTTGTCACCTCCGTTAGTCGCCCAGCTGTGAAAGGGACACTGAAATGATGAGCCAGCTCTGCCATCTCTCAGCTGGAGAGGCAGGATCTGACGTAGGGGCCTCCCATAGGACTCTGGTAGATTCCTGGGGAGCTGGGGGTCGATGGAGCCCTGCTTATACACGCACTCCACCTCTGCCCAGGAGGCTGCCTTCACCTCCCGCTCTCCCCCTCCTCGTGTCCCTCCAGGGGAGTGTCTCGTCACAGGCCAGTCCCACTTCAAGAGCTTCGACAACAGGCACTTCACCTTCAGTGGGGTGTGCCAGTACCTGCTGGCCCGGGACTGCCAGGACCACACCTTCTCCATCCTCATTGAGACCGTGCAGGTGAGGGCGGCCAGGCTGAGGAGCGCGGCGGGAGGCGGCTCTCTGGGCAGCATGAGTGGCCATGTCTGTGCAGCACCGAGGCCCCTTCCAGTCTGTTCTCCTGGAAACCCATGTTCTGTCCCTGGTGTTGGGAGCGCATCCTGCCTGCTCGCCCACACACCTGCCCAAGGCCAGCTCCGGAAAGGGCACCTCCTCCAGGTCTAGCCTGCGTCCCCCTGGCTAAGCCTTCGCTCCTGGGGCTGACGGGTGCCTTTTCTGAGCTGCGGCGTACACACGTGAATACTTTTCTCTGGAGAGCAGAGAAGAGAGGAGGACGACCGGGGTGCTCAGGGCTCCCCGTGAGGATCCCCGATTGGTCCCCGATTCTCTTTGGAACAGAAAGTTCAAAGAACAAGATGAACCAGAGGCCTTTACAGGCAGCGTGGGTGAGGGTCAGGCGTGGCACATCCTCACGGTACAACCCCAGGACCAGAGCCACAGAGTTCTGAGGAGGCCAG